AAGTGGCAAAGATGTGAAGCCGGAGCCCAGGAAGGAGTCTCTGTACTGGGTCATCTTCAACGCAGCCAGCCAATCCTCCACGGAGCTCACGCTGCTCAGGTCTGGAGCCCCGCGGTCTAACAAGGGATGATGGGAAGGTCTGAAGGCAGTGGTTACAAACAAAAAGGCAGGGAGCCATTAGAAAAAAGGAAGAGTATAATTGTGTATGTAAATAATACAGAATTATTAATCTCTTCTCACGCAGGAGGGATGTTATTAGTGCCGGTTTTGAGGGATGCAGGATTTCGTATCATTTTGTCCAACATGCTGACGAGATCGGGGAACTTTGGTCGCGAGTTCCTGTCTTTCTGCCAGCAGTCCAGCATCAGCTGGTGCAGCACTACGGGACAGTCCATGGGCGCTGGCAGCCTGAAGTCCTGCTCGATGGCATTTATCACCTGGAACACAATGAGGGGGCTGGGATTAAAAGTCGACTCCCAGCTCATTCTTTCTGGGTTTTGTCATTCATGAGTAGCATTTTCAGACGCAGAGGGAAGCTGTTTAAAGCTCACCTATTATGCTATATTTTAACAATATATTATTGTCCTTATCTACACAAAACATATCTCTGAAGTGCTTTGCTCAAAATACCAAACAGATCACCCAATTAGCCATGCCTCATACCCCTCTATTTCAGTCCTGTTGCAAAAGTGCTGATTCTGGGTCCGTAGCTTTAAATGTAACCGAGCTGCTGCTGGCCACGCCCCTTTCCCCATGCAAGCAGTGAGCTCTATTAAGAGAAGAGTGTCTACTCTACGGCAGAAACTCAGCTAAACGCTGCCATGATTAAACGCCATATTATGTTCCAAAGCACTTCAAGGATTATTTCTGAAACAGTATGGAGCTCAAACACTTTCTCTCTTGTGGGTTTACCACAAGGTGAATACCTCCGGCTTTTTTACACATATCCTCTCCAGTACAGCGTTAGCTCTCAGTGTTAGCGATGCTTGCTAATGTAAACACAGACCATATTATTTCCAAACACGTTGCGCATTGTTTCTGATACAGCGAGGTTTCTGATAGCGGACAGGTCGGGCCGTGGGCGGAATGTTGCCAGGAGTTCAACCTAAAGCCAGCCCACATTTTAGTAATGTCGTCATGACCACAGCAAATCTGGATCAGCTCTGTTGTACCCCCGTTTTTAGAGATGTAGTTAAGGAGGTAAAGAGAGAGGGTTGTATTTTCAGACACTTTGTGAGTCTCCTTAAACACCGGGGACACATATTTATGTATAAAAGACATAAAAAAGTGCATTTTGCATAATAGGTGACCTTTAAGCTAAAATAAAAAGCTCTGGTTTAAAGAATGTTAAACCTGCTTATCGGCAAGCAGACAAATGTAGCAAATAGCTGGTGAACATAGCGAAGTATACAATCAATCAATCAATCAATCAATGTTTATTTATATAGCCCATATACAACAAGATGTTTCCACAGATCCAAATAAATGCTGATGTTTCTTTCAATCAAATGGATGTGCAACTTCAATGTTAGCAACTGCTAACACATCTATCATATATAACTTTATGAGGTGATGATATGTCAATGTGTTGATGCAGCTTTTCTCCAAAGCCCCTCTGTGCTTTATGTTATAATATTAAAAACATAGTGAGAGGGCAGTAAACACATTTTACGGCTTCTTATTATATTACATTATATATTCTTTTGTGTTCCAGGGCTGATGGAATATGTTTATAATTTTGAGATGGATTTTATCAAATCATTCAAGGATTTGACGCTGTAAAGTGATTTAGTGAGCAGAGTCTGTGGGGAACTATTGCAGTTTGAAAATGGATTCCGGTGTAGAGGAGTGTTGGCTTCCACCCACACCCCCATAACCCACACCTTTTGATGAGGAGGCAGAGAGGGAATAAGAAAGAACCTAGACTGCATCAACAGCAGTTTTGGAAATCTAACAGCCATTTTTCCACACCCTTGGGTCCTATGCTGGTATTTTACATAGCCCACAATAAGGCGATGTGTTTCATATAATAGAAAGAGATACTGTTAGCTGGGGCATCTAAACTCTCATTTTTTGCATACATTTATGTACACCTCCCACTTCTTCCCATGCAGTTAAGTTGGTCCAATATGTATTTCAGTAAAAATAAAATGAGATTGACATAAATGGGACACAGGAAGCACTTTCTTTCTGTGTGTTTCAAAGATAGAGGGGACAAAATATTTGAAAGAGATGTATTTTCGTCATCAGACGTCAGTAAATTGCACAAACCATGGTTCTATATATTGCTCAGGATTTCAAAGGATTGAAAGAGGCAAACATATCCCAGTCTTTTGCTGCTGTTTAGGAGATACCTTATATCTGGAGTTTTGATTTGTGAGCTTCTGTTGGCAGAGAAGAGAGCAGTCTTCTCTTGTTTCAGCTCCTTTGTGATTTTGAAAGGTGTATTTCTAAAGAAGAATCTTGTCTTGTTCAGCTTTAATTAAAAACACAAAAAAAATAAGAAAACTTAACCCTCTATGGCATGATTTTATTTTGGGAGGAAAAATATGTTTCACCATGTGTTTTAGGAGCTTAGGGGTCCCTGATATTATATCAATTATAAAATGTGGCCCCCCCTCACCCCTCAACCAGGGGTTGGTTTGTTGCCTCAGGGCAACAATGTGCTACGAGGGTATTGAAACACCAAGGATTTCTACAATGCAGAAGAAATAGAAAAAACAACTCTATATTAATTCAAATGGTTTTCTTTGTGTGAGTATATCTGTGTGTATGTGTGTGTGTCTGTGTGTATGTGTGTGTGTCTGTGTGTATGTGTGTGTTTCTGTGTGAGTGTGTGTGTGCCTGTGCGTTTTTCTGTGTGTGTCTGTGTGTGTGTTTCTGTGTGTGTGTCTGTGTGTTTGTATGTATCTCTGTGTGTGTGTGTGTGTGTGTGTGTGTGTGTGTGTGTGTGTGTGTGTGTGTATCTCTGTGTGTATCTGTGTGTGTGTGTGTGTGTGTGCGCGTGCGTGCGTGCGTTTCTGTGTGTGTCTGTGTGTTTGTATGTATCTCTGTGTGTGTGTGTGTGTGTGTGTGTATGTGTGTATGTGCGTGTGTGTGTGTGTTTCTGTGTAAGTGTATGTGTGTCTGTGTGTGTGTGTGTGTCTGTGTGTGTGTGTGTGTGTGTGTGTGTGTGTGTGTGTGTGTGTGTGTGTGTGTGTGTGTGTGTGTGTGTGTGTGTGTGTGTGTGTGTGTGTGTGTGTGTGTGTGTGTGTGTGTGTGTGTGTGTGTGTTTGTATGTATCTGTGTGTGTGTGTGTGTGTTTGTGTGTGTGTGGTGTGTGTGTGTGTATATGTTTGTAAATGTGTGTATATGTGTGTGGTGTGTGTGTGTGTGTGTGTGTGTGTGTGTGTGTGTGTGTGTGTGTGTGTGTGTGTGTGTGTGTGTGTGTGTGTGTGTGTGTGTGTGTGTGTGTGTGTGTGTGTGTGTGTGTGTGTGTTTCTCTCTGTGTGTGTGTGTGTGTGTGTGTGTGTGTGTGTGTGTGTGTGTGTGCGGTGTGTGTGTGTGTGTGTGTATATGTTTGTAAATGTGTGTCTATGTGTGTGTCTATGTGTGCGGTGTGTGTGTGTGTGTGTGTGTGTGTGTGTGTGTGTGTATATGTTTGTAAATGTGTGTCTATGTGTACGGTGTGTGTGTGTGTGTGTGTATATGTTTGTAAATGTGTGTCTATGTGTGTGTGCGTGTGTGTGTGTGTGTGTGTGTGTGTGTGTGTGTGTGTGTGTGTGTATGTGTGTGTATATCTGTGTATGTGTGTATGTATGTGTGTATGTGTGTGTGTGTGTGTGTGTGTGTGTGTGTGTGTGTGTGTGTGTGTGTGTGTGTGTTGTGTGTGTGTGTGTGTGTGTGTGTGTGTGTGTGTCTGTGTGTGTCTGTGTGTATGTATGTGTGTGTCTTAGTTTGTGTGTTTCTGTGTGTGTGTGTGTGTGTGTGTGTCTATGTGTGTGTGCCTGTGTGCCTAACCCTATATTGACCTTCACTGTCCTCACTGTCAGACGGAATAGCCCTAACAGCCTGATCGTGTCCCTTCTGCCCATAACAGGTTTTGGTGTCCATTTCCTATACATATCAGTAGATGGTAAAGTAAAAACATTGACTACGTTTATCATTTTACAGCTGAGCACATTTGCACACTTGCATGATATTGCCTAGAAAAAAGTGGTCCAAGTGGCACAGTGTTGCCCTGAGGCAACAAACAAAAAAACATAGTTTCAGCTAATTAATAAATACATAATAAGTCTTTAAACAATCAAATATACTTCTTTACGTATTCATGCACATGCATGTATTTTAAGTTGTGTACATTTCTAATATGTTAAACAGTGAAATGTATCTTACCAAGTGGTGGCCCTGAGTCCCCTGCAGCTTTGCTTGCAGAAAGGACTGCTCCACCCCCAGACAAAATGCCACACCCATATAATTCCCTCATTTTATTGGACACCAGCATGTCAGGTGACATTGTGTATATTAAAAAAATATATTTAGAGGGCAAGTGTGAGGTCGAAAAAAGTGGTTTGTTGCCTGAGGGCAACAGTATGCCATAGAGCAGGGGTGGCCAACCCGCGGCTCTCGAGCCGCAT